CTATAATGGTGTAGAGATGTCATTACATATTTGTCCATACCCATGGAATATACAAAATCAAAAGTGAATACCAATATAAACTATTTACTTTGGGTGCTACTGGTGCATCAACAATTTAGGGATAATAGATGGCTGATACAATCTTCCCTGGTTGATCAAGCTTCCCACTGAAGACTTCCGTTGTAATCTTCTACCCTGGTGTGTTCCTAGCACATTTTTTCTACTTCCTTATCTACAACATCTATATTTCCTATCCTTTTCACATTTTTTTACATGTTTCTTATCTAAATTAATCCACAGACCAGTGCCAGTCCATGAATTGCTTGTTACTGGTCCTCCTCAAGGTAAGCACAGAAGGTGATAGGAACATTCAAAACTTGCAGAACAATTTTACACTGTCATGGCATTAATGCAGATTTTTATTGATTTTCAAAAGTAGTCCTAGGTGACAGGAAATTAAAAGCAAAAATAATTGACTTTGTCTTTCACCCATATAATTTATGGAAAACTGCACCAGAGATATTTGATTTACATATGTTACTTGTGAACTTCCAAACCAAATCTTAGGAATTGGCACACGTTTGGGGCACACAGGTTTAGAGAGATGTAGTTGGCAATACATACATCAGAGCTGAAGCAAGAGCTGCATGACACAAAGGAAGGTATTAGAGGGAAGGACATGATGTGTAGACACTCCTCCTCAGCAGGAAAATGAGCCACACCCCATTTCCCTACCCTCCAGAGCAAACATGCCTTCACACTTAATAGGGATCCTGTCCAGGCTGATAGCAGTCTCTCAGCCACCCACCTGCTCTCTGCACATGTTCACTGGCACCGCTTCCTCCCATGGGGATCTGTCCTGAGACTCCAGGTTTTCAGAGGACACTCTGCCCACATAGCAGAACCAGGCGGGGTGTAAGTTTACACTAGGACCTCAAGCACCATAGCTGTCATTCCCAAGAGTCTCTCATATGGGAAGAGAAGCAGGTAGCTTGGACAATTTCAGACAAATGTTCAGTTAGCTGAGCCTGTGAAATTATATCACCTTTTAATTGTACTACTCCTGTTGAAAATTTTTCTTTTTAATTGTAACTAACTGTGTGTATTTTGATGGCTGTATACATGGTGGGATGAACACATCTTGTTAATTAGCAAATCTATCATTATCATTTCCTTGGGGTGGGAATATTGGACACTGTTTTAGCTGTTTTAACATGTACATTATGATGGAATACACTCACTATGCTGAACTGTACAACAACCAAACTTTTTTATTCTGATCCAATCATCAAACAGAAACTTTGTACCTATGATTATATGGTTTTTATTGCTTATTCAAATCCATGACCTAAGACATTACGAAGCCAGTCGATATTGTATACAGGCTGAAGGAAACAAAAATGTTTACAAATGAGGAACAGAAGGAGTTTTACACAGCTACAAGTGCTAGTTAAGAACTCACAGGACTTTACCGACTACTCAGGTGGGAGATCGCAATCAGGTGAGTAGGAAAACTATGGAGACTCTGCCATTCTCTATCTCTAGTTCTTCCAACCATCAGAGCAAAGGGGAGAGAAAATAAATTAGAAAGACCATGTCTTTGCCAAGGTCTTCTCCCAAGTAAGACAAAGAAAAAAGAGGGAGAATGTTTAGATGATAAGTGTGGAAAACAAAACATGAGGTGACAGTCTGTCTTCTAACAAGGACAGGCTGGTTTTGAGTATGACGTGGCTTGAAGATAAAGTATTTTCCTAAGAACCAACTAGCAGTAGTACCCAGACCTTCATGGGGAGCAAGTGTGTAAATTCACTCAGCTAACATCTAGATGGAGAAAGAGAAAATATGCCAAGAAATCCTGTTTGCACCTGATAATATTTATTTGTCTTGTGTCATGTGTGAAATGTCCAGATGGAAAATATACAAATGTGCTACAGGATTTCAGCATATGGCAGACATCAGAGTGGTTTTGTTCTGGAAAGAGTTAATTGTTCTGGAAAGCTTTCTGGAGAGATGGGTTCTAACTTGAGGACAGACCACTGAGTTTGGTTTGGTGCAGGGGCAACCCAGCCCAGGGGGGCAGCAGGAGCTCATCAAGATAGAAATGTAAGAACCTTTTTAAATTTGTGTTTTTAATATGTGTATGTGTATATACAATGCCTTATATGTCCTTTTTAAATTCACATAAATAATTTTTGATAAACATTTAGCATACTTGTTACTTTCTTCACATAGCACTTCACAACAACACTCCTTGTATATAAACATAGTGAATTTCTTCTATATTCTGGGGACTGTCTCTCAATACACATCCAGCATATTTTTCTTAATCATTTTATAGTATCACATATTAAATCTATTTAATTCCCAACAACTATGCAGACAAATATTCAAAAGAAGTAAAATTTTGCATTTGATTTTTATTGACCTGACTGAGAAACATTCTGTGATTGCTCAATGGAAACAAGACCAATGTGCCTAACATGGCCACTTATCATGTTTGTTTGTTTTGTGTGTTGATATAAAGGAATTATAAAAATAGCACTTGTATTTCTATATGTCAGCCACATAAATTCTTTTCAGAAAATGAAATGAAAATACAGATAGTCAATGTACACACGTATATGTTCTTAGTATATATTTTATACATGTATATATAAATATAATTTATAATTCCAAAACTAACAGACTAGCCTGTGACTTCCTTTTAAGAGCAATCAGAAAAACTGAAAAAAATTATTTTTACTCCTTATGAAGGATCAGTGAGCTGCCAAGACAGTGCAGGCTTGAGAAAGTAAAAGACAGGCAAAGAGTAATTTACAAACACAAGAGAAAAATGGGGAAATGGGGTAACATATTCAAACTGCTGAAGCTCCTCTCCTCTACCAACAAAGACACAAACAAAATCACATCACAATATAGATTTATACTCAGCAAAATATCCCTCAAATATGACAATAAAATAAAAGGAAAATTTTTAATTTTCAAAATTTGTCACTAGAAGATGTAGATAGAATATTAAAGACCATTCTTCAAACAGAAGAAAAATGCCTCCAAATGAGAGGTACGCAAGGTAGAATGAAACAAAGAGCCATTAAGTGTACAAATATAAATGTATTGAAGAAAACATAGTAAGTATATCTGCTATAATTCTTATCACTCTAGGATTTAAATACCTAACAATACAAATGACAAAAAGGAGACGGAAGTGAATGCCAATGGAACATGACTTTGTAAAGTCCTTCAGTGCTACCAAAAAATATATATAAGTTCACATTTATATTAGACATTATGAAGTCAAAGATGGATGCTGTAATTTCTCCAATAAAACAAAAGCAAAATGAAAACAAAAATAAAACAAAATGACTAAAGCATTTTGTACACCTGAAAACCTGAGGGGAGGAAATTGAATAATTATAAAATTTGACTAATGCAAAAGGGGAACAAAAAAGGAACAAATGGAAAGGAGAACAGGTAGAACTTACAAATAAAAACCAACTAGTGACATAAAATTACAATGATAGTAATGCAAACAGACCAGGAATTTCCAGCAGCAAAAATGGCAAGTCACTCGTCTGGAACTAACATTTCCCACATGACAGCATTAGACTCTGGGGAAAAAATGTTTTGAAAATAATTACTTTGAAGCACTAAAGAAAGGTCAAAAACTGCAGATAATGGAGGATATTTTGGGTCCTTGAAAGAAGGGATTCACGCCCAGTTGGAGCTATGCTTTAAAGGCTTTTGCCAGCCAAGAAGCCTCAGTGAGCGTTGTGCTGTGCAGGGCAATTTCAATTCAAGCAGAGAAATGCAGACTTTTCACGCAGGCATCATGATAGAGTTCAGAGAAAGAGAGGCTGTGGAATCATCAGGAAGGAGAAAGCCACAGAGAGAAAGAGCCCCCAGATTCAGGTATAATCCACTCAAATCCTTGACTGAGCCCTGAGCTGCATATGCACAAGGGAGACTCCACAGAGCCTAGCAGAAAGCAGCAGCTAGGAAGCCTGAAATGACTGAGTAGGGCTCTCATCTGTTGCCAAGCAGGGAAACAGTCTGTACTTGGAGGTCCATAGAGTACTTGGTAGAAATCCCAGGCTTCTCAAGACCCACCTTGAAAATCATCAAATTGAGAATTCACAAGTTCAATCAGAGAGCTTTAAACCATAGTCACAATTAGAAATATTCAATATTGTTTGTAGGGCAATTCCTCCCCAATATACCAGAGAAATAAATAAGAAAATAAAGAGAAATAAAGTCCAGCTGGCTTTTGGTAGTTAAACATCTACTTACTGTGTGAATTGGTGATTCCACTCCTGGGTATTTCCCAAAAGCAAATGAAAATCTGTCTGCAGTATAGAGAACTATATGTGGACATTTATAAAAGCAGTTCTATTCATATATTCCAAACTGGAAATAACTCAAATGATCATAAAATGATGAAAATACAAATGTTATGGTACATGTATAAAATGGAATAATAGTCAGTAATGCAACAAATCAGAGGAGTGATAAGTGTACCAACTCAGATGAATCCTCAAAAATAGACACTGAGTCAAAGGAGACAGATTAAAAAAAAGTACATTCTACACAATTCCACTTACATGAAAACTTTGTTTTATCAATCTTCTCAATTAGGAATACTGACACTAAATCACAGGAGTTATAGCAAATACTGTGGCATATGATACAATTATTAAAGAATGGTGAAATATCATCCATACATATCACAGCTTTGGAATTATTGTACATATAGTCCTGCTGCTAAATTTTGTATTTTTGTGTGTTAGTAAAGAATTGTTACTTGTGCCTGTAACAAATGGAGTTACTTAAAATGTTGTGATCATTATATCTCAGTGACTGAGCTTGTTATCACTCCGTATGTTGCATTTCACATATTATAAAAATTTGGAGAAGGTCAAAGGCTTCACAAGGTGACCAAGGGTGTCCATGTTAAAAAGAAGTTTTAGGAACCCCCACTTCCAGGATGTTGTCATTATACTCACTGTCAATGTGAGGCTGGTGGCATGCCTAGTTTGCAGCAGGCAGGAAGAGGAAGAGCCTGGAGAAAATAAGTCATGTGTTGCCTCTGTTTATAATTCCACTGCAGAGACAGCAATCCCAGGGCCAAACCTGAATGCCACGGCACCTGGGAAATCATTAACTGTGTTGCCACATGTCCAGCTACAAGTTTCTATTACCAGCAGTGGAAGGGTCAACGCTTGCCATCTCTGCACGTTTACTTGATAGTGTCTGAGGATGACAGCAGATGAGCAAAGGAGACAAATGAGGCAGAGAGTGCCCAGGGTTCTGAAAGGAGATGCCACTCGCAAATATTGTAGAGGAAGAAGAAGAGAATTTGAGGAAGGGAAATATTCTTTCCCTTCCTCAAATACACAATATATATTTGTGCATTTTATACATAATAGTAGGATTTGTTGTTACACATATGAACATGCACAAAATAAAAAAAAAATATGATTTGGTCATTTGCATTCCCCAGAACCTCCCCTTTCCTTTCCCTTCTTCCTTCAGTTGGTTTCCTTCCTAAATCAGAGGGATCTTCCTTCTATTTTCATGAGATTTCCCTCTTTTTTCTCATTTTACTCTCTAGCTTTCACATATTATTTTACTTTTAAATTTCGTTCTTTTTAGACATACACAACAGTACTGTGTATTTTGACATATTATACATACATGGAGTATAACTACCCCTTCTCGGGGCTGTACATGATGTGGAGTTACACTGGTCAGGTACTCATATATGAACACAGGAAAGTTATGTATGATTCATTCTAGTGTCTTTCTATTCCTATCCCCATGACCACTGATTTCCTGAGTTGGACTTATTTTGCTTCTCACGTTCCATCCACTTTCCTGCAAAAGACAAAATTTCTGTTTTCTGTATGGCTGAATAAAATGCCATTGTGTATATATACCACATATTCTTTATTCATTCATTCATTAATGGACATCAAGACTGATTCCATAATTTGGCTGTTGTGAATTGTGCTGCTATAATGCTAGGTGTGCATGTATGGCTACGGTATGCTGAATTTAATTTTTTTATGTCTTCACATGTACTTTGTATAATAATGATCATCACATTCCACCATCATTAATAACCACATGACCATTCCCTTCCTTTCCAACCCCTCTGCCCTATCTAGAGTTTGTTTATTTCTCCCATGCTCCTGATCCCTATCCCACTAATCAGTGTCCTTATATCAAAGAAAACATTCAGCATTTGGTTTGGGGGGATTGGCAAACTTCACTTAGAATTATCTTCTCTAACTCCATCCATTTACCTGCAAATGCAGTGATTTTATTCTCTTTTATTGCTGAATAAAATTCCATTGTGTATATATGCCACATTTAAAAATATCCATTCATCTATTGAAGGGCATCTAGGTTGGTTCCACAGTTTAGCTATTGTGAATTGTGCTGCTGTAAAAATAGATGTGGCTGTGTTCCTGTAGTATGCTGTTTTTAAGTCCTTTGGGTATATAGACTGAGGAGAGGCAAAGCTGGGTCAAATGGTGGTTTCATTCCCAATTTTCCAAGAAATCTCCATACTACTTTCCATAAGGTATAAATAAGTGTACCTTTTCCCCCACATCCTCGTCAACATTTATTGTTGTTTGTCTTCATAATGGCTGCCCATTCTGAGTGGAGTGAGATGAAATCTTAAAGTGGTTTTGATTTGTATTTCTCTAATTGCTAGTGATGATGAATATTTTTTCATGTGTTTGTTGATTAATTGTACATTACCTTCTGAGTAGTGTCTGTTCAGGTCCATGGCCCATTTGTTGATTGGGTTATTTGCTATTTTGGTGTCTAGCTTTTTGAGTTCATTTTATACCCTAGAGACTAGTGCTCTATCTGATATGAGGGGTAGAGGTTTTCTCCCAAGATGTAGGCTCTCTATTCACCTCACAGATTGTTTCTTTTGCTGAGAAGAAACTGTTTAGTTTGGGTGCATCCCATTTATTGATTCTTGATTTTAATTCTTGTGCCACAGGAGTCTTAATAAGGAAGTTGGAGCCTAATCCCACATGATGGAGATTAAGGCCTACTTTTTCTTCTATTAGACACAGAGTCTCTGGTTGTATTCCTAAGTCCTTGATCCATTTTCAGTTGAGTTTTGTGCATGGTGAGAGATAGGGGTTTAATCTTATTTGTTGCATATGGATTTCCAGTTTTCCCAGCACCATTTGTTGAAGAGGCTATCTTTTCTCCAATGCATGTTTTTGGCTCCTTTGTCTAATATAAGATAATTGTAGTTTTGTGGGTTAGTCTCTGTGTCTTCTATTCTGTACCATTGGTCTACCTGTCTGTTTTGGTTACTATTGTACTGTAGTATAGTTTAAGGTCTGGTATAGTGATGCCACTTGCTTCACTTTTCCTGTTAAGGATTACTTTAGCTCTTCTGGATCTCTTATTTTTCCAGATTGATTTCATGATTGCTTCTATTTCTATGAGGTATGTCATTGGAATTTTGATCAGAATTGCATTAAATCTGTATAGTGCTTTTGGAAGTATGGTCATTGAGCAAGAGCAAGGTAGGTAGATCTTTCCATCTTCTAAGGTCTTCTTTGATTGCTTTCTTTAGGGTTATGTAATTTTCATTATATAGATCTTTCACCTCTTTTGGTAAGTTGATTCCCAAGTGTTTTATTTTATTTGAGGCTATTGAAAATGAGGTAGTTTTCCTTGTTTCCCTCTCTGAGGATATGTCACTAATATACAGAATTGCCTTTGATTTATGGGTGTTGATTTTATATCCTGCTACTTTGATGAATTCATTTACTAGTTCTAGAAGTTTTCTGGTGGAACATTTAGGGACTTCTAGGTATAGAATCATATCAGCAAATAGTGCCAATTTGAGTTCTTCTCTTCCTATGTGTATCCATTTAATTTCTTTTGTATGTCTAATTGCTCTGGTCAGTGTTTCAAGAACTGTGTCAAATAGAAGTGATGAAAGAGGGCTTCCTTGTCTTGTTCCAGTTTTTAGAGGGAATGCCTTCAATTTTTCTTCATTTGGAATAAAGTTGGCCTGGGGCTTAGCATAGATAGCCTATATGATGTTGAGGTAAGTTCCTGTTATCCCTACTTTTTCTAGTGTTTTGAACATAAAGGGGTGCTGTATTTTGTCAAATGCTTTTTCTGCATCTAATGAGATGATCATGATTCTTACCTTTAAGTCTATTGATGTGATGAATTACATTTATTGATTTCTGTATGTTAAACTAATCTTGCATCTCTGTGATGAATCCCACTTGATCATGGCGCATGATCTTTTTGATATGTTTTTGTATTCAATTTACCAGAATTTTATTGAGAATTTTTTCATCTATGTTCATTAGAGATATTGGTCTGAAGTTTTCTTTTTTTTATGTGTGTCTTTGCCTGGTTTGGGAATCAGAGTGATATTGGCCTCATAGAATGAGTTTGGAAGTGCTGCCTCTTTTTCTATTTCCTGAAATAAATTGTAGAGTATTGGTATTAGTTCTTCTTTAAAGGTTTTGTAGAACTCGACTGTGTATACATCTGGTCCTGGGCTTTTATTGTTTGGTATACTTTTGTTGGCATCTGCTATTTCATCACTTGAAATTGATCTGTTTAAATTGTGTATATCATCCTGTTCAATTTGGGCAAATTATATGACTCTAGAAATTTGTCAATGCCTTCTATATTTTATTGGAGTACAAGTTTTCAAAAATAATTTCTAATTATCTTTTGTACTTCTGTAGTGTCTTTTGTGATATTTTCTTTTTCATCGTGTATGTTGGTGATTTGAGTTTTCCCTCTCCTCTTCATTAGCATGGCTAAGGGTCTGTCAATTTTATTTATTTTTTTCAAACAACCAACTTTTTCTTCTGTCAATTTTTTCAATTGTTTCTTTTGTTTCAATTTTATTGATTTCAGCTCCGATTTTAATTATTTCCTGACTTCTACTGCTTTTGGTGTTGATTTGTTTTTCTAAGACTGTGAGATGTAATTTGAGGTCATTTATTTTTTGACTTTTTCTTCTTTTAAGGAATGAACTCCATGCAATGAACTTTTCTCTTAGAACTGCTTAATAGTGTCCCAGAGATTTTGATATGTTGTGTCTGTGTTCTCATTCACCTCTAAAAACTTTTTAATCTCCTCCTTGATGTCTTCTCAAACCCACTGTTCATTTAGTAGCGTGTTATTTAGTCTCCAGGAGTTGGAATGGATTTTATTTCTTCTTTTATCATTAATTTCTAATTTCATTCCATTATGATCTGATAGAATGCAGAGTAGTATCTTTACTTTTTTACATTTGCTAAGAGTTGCTTTATGGCATAGTATATGGTCTATTTTAGAGAAGAATCCATGTGCTGCTGAGAAGAAAGTATATTTTCTCATTGAAGGATGAATATTCTATATATGTCAGTTAATTCTAAGTTATTGATTGTATTATTGAATTCTATAGTTTCTTTGTTCAGCTTTTGTTTGGAAGATCTCTCCAGTGATGAAAGAGGTGTGTTAAAGTCACCCAAAATTATTGTGTTGTGGTCTATTTGACCCTTGAACTTGAGAAGAGTTTGATGAATATAGCTGCTCCATTATTTGGGGCATATATATTTATAATTGTTAAGTCTTGTTTGTTGTTAAGTCTTTATTGGATATGAAGATTGAAACATCTGCTTGCTTCTGCAGTTCATGTGAGTGGTATGATTTTTCCCAATCCTTCACCTTCAGTCTGTGGATATCTTTTTCTATGAGATGAGTCTCTTGGAGGCAGCATATTGTTGGGTCTTTTTTTTTTTTCACCCAATCTGCTAGTCTATGTCTAATGATGGTGAGTTTAGGCCATGAACATTGAGGATTATTATTGAGACATGATTTGTATTCCCAGCCATTTTTCTTTATTTTTGGTATTTAATGTGAATTGCTTTCTCCTATGATTAGATTTTCCTTTAGTATAATCCCTCCGTCTGCTGATTTTAATCATTGTTTTTCATTTCCTCTTCTTGGAATATTTTGCTGAGGATGTTCTTTAGTACAGGCTTTCTAGTTATAATTTTT